TTTATTTATTTATTTATTTGACAGAGAGAGAGAGAGAGAGCACAAGAGGAAACACAAGCAGGGGGTGTGGGAGAGGGAGAAGCAGGCTTTCTGCCAAATAGGGAGCCCGATACGGGCTGGATCCCAGGACCCCAGGATCCCAAGCTGAGCCGAAGGCAGACGCTTAACGACTGAGCCACCCAGGCGCCCCTTCTTTTTATTTTTTAATGTGTGTATCTATCCCATCTCTGCCCTGACCCAGGGCTTAAGCATGTTCAGAACATTTGTTGAAATATTGAAAAGAATGAAGCCTGGAGCATAGATAGGTCTGCTGTGAAATTTCTGGCAGTCGCCTAATGTTATAGAGTCTCATTTTCCTTGTATGTCAAATGGAGGACAGTAATCATAATACTTAGCTCCTCACTGGTTGGCATTAAGCACTTATCCTTCGCCTTAGTACTCCACTGGTGCTGTCCGAACATCCATCCCACATGACCACAAGAAGTCCAATATCCTTATTCAGTTTCACTTCCTTGACATTTCTGAGAACCCAGGGAGCACTTCCATTTTCCACAAATCCATCCTGCTGGGTAGCTCGTTTCTGTGGATCCAGCGGCCTGCAGCTCTTCTCTTTGCTCTTCTTTGCTCAAGCAGAGACCCAGACTACTAACTCAGTTCCCCCAAACACACCAAACACTAGCTTAAGGAGTTTTATGAATGACTCCCTGATAGCATCCTTACCATCCTCATCATTATCATCACTATTATCTCTTAGAGAAACCTCTGGATTCATTTCTACGAACATAGCCCTTTTGCGGGTGAGGAATTGGGGGTTCAGAGAGGTAGAGGGGATTTCCCAAGGTCACTCAGCTAGTTGGTGGGAGAGCAGGGTCCTGTCCACAGCATTTTCTAAAGTAGGGCTAGTGTAGTGGAGGAACCACACCTCACTGAAGCTGTTTTACACAAAGGCATTAAGTAACTGAACCATACATAATCTCAGGGTGGTGGCATTGAGCCCCACATTGGGCTCTGTGCTCAGTGAGGACTCTGCTGGAAATTCTCTCTCCCTCTCTCTCTGCCTCTCCACCCCCAACATGCATGCGTACACGCGTGCCACACACACACACACACACACATGCACACACACACACACACACTCTCTCTCTCTCAAATAAATAAGGAAATCTTTGAAAAAAATAACAACCACATTGTAAGGCAGTTACTCTATTTTCCATTATCTTCCATTCCCTCTGATTAAATTCAGGAAAGCGTCTCATAGTATCTGATTTCCTTGTAAAACTTCTCTAACATGTGCCAATCTCCCTTTTTAACAAAGAGAAAGCAGGCAACAGTATCTAGCTAGAATTTAATCACACTGTTTTGTTTTCCTTCTATTCATTTTTATGGAAATGATGTTGATTTCCCATCCACGTTGCCATACAAATGTCCTTGTTATTAAAAGTGAATAGACTTACAGAAAAATACCAAGTAAATAGTAGTGTAAGTATTCAGTGAAATGGCAAAATTGTGCAATTTTGGGCCTCAAGGCTGGGGAACACTGCACATAATAATGAGGAAATTAAGATTGGATGCCAGAGTCCACTGCCTGGCCTGGCCTCCTTGGTCCCAGAGGTGGGGGCGGCGAGCAGGGAGGTGACGCCTCTCTCCCCAGTTCTTGGCAGGGACCGTGAGGAGAGGCCCCTCACCCCAGTCCAGCTCCAACCCCCAAGAAAAGCCCCTTGACATCACAATACTCCAGACCCACCAGGAGCCTAGCCCTTCCTTTATGCTGCCTTATTATCCTAAAGGGTTCCATTTCAAGGGGGATCTCCATCTCTCTTCACATAACAAAAGTCTCCTAACACTGTTTTACCTCAAACAAATAAGTGCAGCCAATTTTCCCCTTGACTGCAATTAAAATGGCAGGCAGCTTTGCAATGGCAATTTATTAAAGGTCTGTAAAGTCTTAGATCACAAGAGTAGCCTCCCTTGCCTGGCCCAGCCCCCAGACGGGGAGGGGTATGCTAACACCCCACCCCACCCCCAACCCCAATTCTAAATGAATACTCCTCCTAAAGCCCAGCTCTTGCAGTGACCTTGGCCCTGGCTTGTTCTTTTCAACATGCCTACTCTTTATGGGCCAGTCTTCTTGGCTTAACATTGGAGTCCCTTCACCATCAGTCCAATCTGGTGAGGTAGAAGCTCATTGGGCCAGGACTTGGGATTCTGGGGTCCTAGTACTAGAATGATCCCTAATTTGCTTTGTGACCTTTGCTGTTTCCCTCCCCTCTCCAGGCTTGTTTTCCTATTAGTGTTAAGAAGGGGTCAGAGTCTCTTCCAGGGCTAATATTCTGTTGGCTGTGGCTTGCGGCTGAATTAATTGACCAGCTCAAGATCAAAGAGCCTGAAAGAGCCAGCAGTGAGGTCCAAGCCTCAGACTTGACCACCCGCAGGCCAGCCATGAAGAAGACTTTGAGACTTTGCCACTTCAGATGGTTTGGGGCCTGAGTATTCTATCTCAGAAAAAAACTGGTCTGCTGGGGACCAAGCTGGCCTCTCCACTTGCCAAGGGATTTCCTTACCTCAATAACTACTCCTATTTTATTTTATTTTTTTAAAGATTTATTTATTTATTTATTTGACAGACAGAGATCACAAGTAGGCAGGAAGGCAGGCAGAGAGAGAGGAGGAAGCAGGCTCTCCGCGGAGCAGAGAGCCTGGTGTGGGACTCAATCCCAGGACTCTGGGATCATGACCTGAGCTGAAGGCAGAGGCTTAACCCACTGAGCCACCCAGGCACCCCTCAATAACTACTCCTACAGTGAGGAAGCTGTTCTCACTTGACCTCTTATAACTCTCCTCCCTTCCCAAATGACTGGTTCCAGCAGGAGAATTTTCTGTTTTGTCTTTTAAAAAGAAGAATTTTTTTTAACATGCTATAAAACAGATGTTCTGCATGAAAATGTTTGGACAATATAGAAATGTTTGGACATTATAGAAACGTATAAAGAAGAGACTCAGAGTCTACTGAAATATTATTTACCTACCCCTGTCTGAGACATTCTTTTTTTTTTTTTTCCAAGATTTTATTTTTAAATAACCTCGACAACCAACGTGGGACTCAAACTCACAACCCTGAGTTCAAGAGTTGTACACTCCACCTACTGAGCCGGCCTGGTGCCCCCCTCCCTGAGATATTCTTCATAAACATTTTTGTATTCATCCTTCCAGGCTTTCTCTAAAAATAAAAAGACATGTATCTTTATAATGAGGAGAGGCTCAGACTAGAAATACTGTTACAATTTTTTAAAAGGCAATATTTTGACTCATACAAATATAAAAGGAACACTTGTCAAAGATTTTATTTAACTCAGTAATTAATAAAAGAACCAGCAGTAAACTAAAACCAGTTCAAAGGAAAATGATATATATTGAAATCTAGATCTACATATAGATCTAGATAATGACTTTGCATTAGTTATTATCTTTAGGGCAATAAAGTTATTGTCTTTAGGGCAATAAAGTGGTATATGGGCAATAAAGTTATTTTCTTTAGGGCAATAAAGTGGTATGTGGAATTGTCTCTTAAACTGTACATTTACAGGACAAGATCAATTTGCGTTTTTGCGGGCAGGAATAATTTGTGTTACCATCACTTTTCTGTAACTTACAGGGTTGTGAAATAGTCTGGTTAAAGACAATGAAAGATTCAGACCTCTGTAAAGTCAGGTAGATAACACCCAACATGTCATGGAAACAACACTCAAAAAAACTCCCAAAATTTTCACCTAAACATATATTATGGTTATAATAGCTCATATGTTGGGGGTGCTCACTATGTGCCAGACACTGTTGTAAGTGCTTTATAGTATTACCTCATTTAACCCTCACAACAAGACTATGAGGTAGACTCTATTGTCACTCCATTTTTACTAATGAGAAAACTCAGATACAGACAGGTTAAGTCACAATGTCACACAGCTAGGAAGTGGGGAAGCCATAATTCAAACCCCTGTTAAAGAACAAAAGTTCAGGGGCGCCTAGGTGGCTCAGTGGGTTAAAGCCTCTGCCTTTGGCTCAGGTCATAATCTCAGGGTCCTAGGTTTGAGCCTCGCATTGAGTCCCACATAGAGCCCAGCATCGGGCTTTCTGCTCAGTGGTGAGCCTGCCTCCCCCGGTCTCTCTGCCTGCCTCTCTGCCTACTTGTGATCTCTCTGTCAAATAAATAAATAAATAATCTTGAAAAAAAAAAAAAAGAACAAAAGTTCAACCAAGTAAATTTTAAAGATTAAATTAGCTTTATGAATTGATTCATGAATTGGGCAGCTTCACATCTAGCAAGTAGAAGGGCTCTCCAAAGAACCACAAAAAGGGAAAGGTTGTTAAAGGCAGGGCAAGGAAGTCATAAACAGAGGAAAGGATTATTTTGGGTGAGGTCAGCTTCTTTTGAGGACAAAAGGGTCTTATTAAGTGGATTACTTCATCTTGTTTTGGGGGATAGAGAGGGGCCATGTGACAGATTACCTTATTGGTGCTGACCATACAATTCTTTTTTTTTTTTAAGATTTTATTTATTTATTTGACAGACAGATCACAAGTAGGCAGAGAGGCAGGCAGAGAGAGAGAAGGAAGCAGGCTCCCTGCTGAGCAGAGAGCCCAATGTGGGGCTTGATCCTAGGACCCTGGGATCATGACCTGAGCCAAAGGCAGAGGCTTAAACCACTGAGCCACCCAGGCACCCCTGACCATATGATTCTTGACTGACCAGTTAGGACTATCTCTAGGGGAGGTCAAGACCACAATGAGGTTAGGTACTAAGCCCCAGATTGGTGACATGTCCTAGCATCACTGACTATTTTGGGCGTGCAGTTTTCTTTTTAACACCCTTAACTATGACAGTATATTATCATTTATCCAACTTCTGATTGATGGACATTTGGGTCGTTTCCAGTTGTTGTTGTTGTTGTTTTTCAATGATGAATATTTCAGTGAATATCTTTATCTCATTTTCTACTTTTAAGAATTCCTCCAAGTGGAATAGCTGGGTTCAAGAATATGTGCATTGTATGGCCAAATTGCCCTCCAAAAAGGGGAATCAATTTACACTCCCATTAGCAGCCAACTTGGGAGAGTGTATTTTCCTACATCTTTGCCAACAATGAGTAAGTACATCAATCTTTTCAGTATTTGCCTGTCTGATAGATGTTAAAAAAAAAAAAAAGAGGAAAAAGTTTCTTAGTGTTATTTTAATTGACATTTCTTTTTAAGGCAAAAATTCTTCAGGACTCTTTTAGATGGACAATGATCAGTGTCAGAGATCACTTTGCACTCTCTCTCTCTTTGACCCGTCAGCATACAGTTTTGAATTCAGAGTGAGAAAAGGACCTGTCCAAGGCCATCCTGTGAGTCAGGAGTGGTCCTGGGACTCTCCTCAGGATTTCTGATTTCTTTCAGAAATAAATACAGCCTTTCTTATGAGCCTCCCTGACACCAGTGTTGGTTTTCGTCTGAATACCAGCGGGAATTATGGGGACCCATCAGAAGTACGTCCTTTGGGTTAGTCTGTCAATGGAGATTATATAATTAGGTAGGCCATTTGGAAAAAAACCCAGAAAACCTGAATTCCTACCTCACCACAAATGGACCAAACACTTAAATGTAGAAAAAAAAGAAGTTGGGGTGCCTGGGTAGCTCAGTTGGTTAAGCCTCTGCCTTTGGCTCAAGTCATGATCCCAGAGTCCTGGGACTAACCCCAAGTCTAGCTCCCTGCTTCTACTTCTCCCTCTGCCCCTCCTCCTGGCTTGTGTGTGCACTCTGTCTCTCAAATAAGTAAATAAAATCTTTTAAGATAAAGGTAAAATCTATAAGTACACTATAAGAAAAATATGAATAAATTAGTTCTATGGCTTATTTTTTTTTTAGTTCTATGATTTATAAAAACAAATCCTAAAGAAAGGTGTAACAAATTTGACTACTAAATGCTTTAAAATATCTATGTGGTAAATTCAACAACAAACCACCACAAATGAGTTTGAAAGACAAAAGGATCTCAAGATCTCACTTTTTTTTAAAGATTTTATTTATTTATTTGACAGAGAGAGAGAGATCACAAGTAGGCAGAGAGGCAGGCAGAGAGAGGGGGAAGCAGGCTCCCTGCTGAGCAGAGAGCCCGTGTAGGGGGATCGATCCCAGGACCCTGAGATCATGACCTGAGCTGAACGCAGAGGCTTTAACCCACTGAGCCACCCAGGTGCCCCAAGATCCCACTTTTTTAAACAAACAAAGAATGCATATCAGAAATCACTTAGGCATTCTCCAACTGTTAGACCAGTTATAAGAATGAAAAAGATAATGCCTGTGAATGTGGCTTGCACGAAGGCATTTTTCCTCAATGTAGTCATGGTTGTTAGGACTGCCTTCTTGATCTTTCTGATTTCAGTGATGCAGTCAAAATCTGTGGAAAAGCGTCAGACAAGGGTATGGGCATGAAAGGCGCTATGGGGGCATCTTTGCAAAAAACCACACTAGATTTGAATCATATCTCTGCTGGCATTTGCCAGTCTATTGGCAGGATGCGTGACATCCCTTATCTCTTCATTTGTAAAATGGGGCTAGTGATAACCACATCTCCGAGTGTGTCTGAGGAATCAATAAGATGATGGATGTGGATGACCTGGCACAGAGCCTGGCACTTATTAGACAATTAAAAAAAAAAAAAAGTGTGTGTTCCCTTCCCATTTCCTTCTCTGAGAATCGACAGAGATTTCCTGGACTTATCAATTCATTCATTCAACAGTGTTTATTTCATCCCTGTGCATGCTGGACACCATGCAGGTGCCGGGAAAACCAGTGTGGATGTGAGAGAAGCAGTTCCTGTCCTCTTGGAGTTTATAGTCTAACGGTGACACTGGACATGGAACAGATAATTTTGCAAAAATGAATGCTTTATGGCGGAAGCAGAGCTTTGGAGAAAAGAACCCTAGAATGCAGCAGGAGCCTTGGGGATGTTCAGGAAAGGCCTCTGGGGAAGGGACCTGAGGGATGGGGAGGGAGATTGGCTGGAGCTAAGGAAACTCTAGAGTGGCCTTAATAAGGTGGACCAGAGTTACCTAGAGAAACCAAAGGAAGGCCAGTGTGACTGAAGCCTGGGCAAGGCATTCCCAGCTTGAGAATTCCAATTCTCACATCCCAGACAAAAGTTCATCCTAGTTAAATTGTAGGATACCCAATCAGTGTTACAGAGAATTTCTGGTGTGAAACCACCCCCCCACTCCCCCACTCCGCCATTTGGTGGCCAGAAATGTGAGAAGTGTTCAGCATGAGTCATAAAGGAGACACACGGGACTCAGCTGAGTTTTTCTTACACAACTTGGTTAATGTGGTGTCCACTAGATGGTTTTCATTGTAAAGGTGCATTTTCTTTCTGGAATTAATAAGTGATTTCTGGGGAGATACTTTAAGACTATGTGACTACTCCTCCATTCCCCAACAATTTTTCACCAATGGTTTTTCACATCCATGCATGATCTTACCTGGATCGATTATTACTATGGTGGTTACAAAATGATGATTTCCTAATTTCTTTTACACTTATTAGCTGATAATCTTCTATAGAGTAGAACTCTCTCCATTCAAATGGAGAGAGCTTCTTTTGTCTTTTTTTTATTAGAGTGTTGTTATGCACTTGTGGATTACTTTTTTATTTAATGTGTAGCAATCCTTTATCACCATTATTCATTTTGATGTTCAAATTGTCCCAGATTTGACCAATGGGAACTGCATGGAGGCAGCTCCTGTGTGCCGTGATAGGTCCCAACAGCTTTTAGCCCTTCTTTGCTTTGTGGCACAAGAAGATATTCTCGGTTTGCTCTACCTTTTTTTGTTTTTATTTTTTATTATTTTTTTAATTTTTAATTTTTTTAATTTATTTGACAGAGAGAGACCACAAGCAGGCAGAGAGGCAGGCTCTCCACAGAGCAGGGAGCCTGATGTGGGGCTTGATCCCAGGACCCTGGTGACCTGAGCCGAAGGCAGAGGCCTAACCCACTGGGCCACCCAGGCGCCCCTACCCTTTTTTAAATAGGAAGAAAAGAAGGCCCAGAGAGTTGAAGTAGCTTGCCACCTCACAGTTTTTGTGAGCTCCTAATCAAGCTCAGGACTTTCAATTCCAAATTTCTGGGAAAGTAGTTACCTGATAGGCCAGACATTCCTATAACACAGGAAAGACTTTATCAAGACATGTAAATGATCCCAAAGCCAGTTAAATCTTTAGCAGACTTCACGCAGACCTTGCCTAATGACATGAAAACATTTGCATCATACCTTTGAACTAGACATTTAGCAACACATTCCAAGGGTATTTTATTTATTGAGGAAGTTATAATTTGGGGAATAAGAGCATAGATTTTGGAGTCAGAAAGAACAAAGTTTTCCTTTAAGACCCAGGCAGATTCTGCCCTTGTGTTTGTCTTTAGGCAAGTTACTTCACCTTGTTGAATCCCAGACTCTTCCATCTGTAAAATAGGTTCATGCATAGGAAGAGCTTAGTCTAGTGTCTGACACATTTAATGTTAAATAAATTAAAGCTAGCTTCACCAACAATGCTGTCATTATTATTAAAAATCTAAGAAAATTCTATTACTCAGTAGGTTAAGGTGATAGAAAAAGCAATGGATTTGGATCTGGATTTGGATTTTGGAGATCCTACTCCAGCTCTATGACCTTGGACAACTCTTGTCCTCATTGATGAATTTCATTTTCCTCACTTGTAAATCAGGGCTCATAATCCCTCCCCTGCAAACTTCACAGCAGCACTCACCAGATTTCATGAGCATTTACCATGCGTAATCACAATCCCAGCGTTAAAAGCAAAGGGTAGGGGCGCCTGGGTGGCTGAGTGGGTTAAAGCCTCTGCCTTTGGCTCAGGTCGTGATCCCAGGGTCCTGGCATCGAGCCCCGCATCAGGCTCTCTGCTCAGCAGAGAGTCTGCTTCCTCATCTCTCTCTGCCTGCCTCTCTGCCTACCTGTGATCTCTGTCTGTCAAATAAATAAATAAAATCTTTAAAAAAAAAAAAAAGCAAAGGGTAAACGTTGTTGTACCCCTCCTTTAACATATGATTAATTGGCAGTTCAGAGCCACTGAGCAGCAAAGCAGGGATTCCATCCAGCTCTGCCAGACGTTCAGGCCTCTCCTCTTTCCTTTATGTCACAGATTTTTAGAAGAGCAAGTGAGAATATGACACTATTCTGCAAAGCTGCAGGACCCTATGAAAGGAAAAGAACATGATCAACAGCATAATAACATTCCTTCTACGGAAAAGGTCATTGGGAGGAGAGCAGGAAGCTTTGGTTTTTTTGTGGGGGGGGGGTTGTTGTTGTTGGTTTTTTTTTTTTGCCTTTTTTTCTATCCTCAAGATAATTTGTGAGTATTAGGCTGACATTATCTACCATAGACTATTACACTTGAAACAATAACTAGGTGAAGGTAGCCAAGATCCAAGCCAGCCCAAAAGCAAATACCTCAACTGAGAATGCCGATAGGATAAGTTCTTTGAAACCGTAGGCTACCTGAGACACTGTTTTTTTTGGTTATTTATTTCATTTATTTTTATTATTTTTCAGAATGTTATTAAGTTTTTTGTTTTAATTCCAATGTAGTTAACATACAGTGTTATGTTAATCTCAGGTGTCCAATGTGGTGATTCAACAATTCTATACATTGCTCAGTGCTCATCATGATCAGTGTACTCTTAATCCCCTTCACCTCATTCACCAATCCTCTCATCCACCTTCCCTCTGGCAAACATCAGTTTGTTCTCTATAGTTAAAAGTGTCTATTTCTTGGGTTGTCTCTCCCTCTCTCTTCTTTCCCCTTTCTTTGTTTTGTTTCTTAAATTCCACACAAGTGAAATCATGGGATTTGTCTCTCTGACTGACTTATTTCACTTAGCACTATACTCTCTAGCTCCATTTATATTGTTGCAAATGGCAAGATTTCATTCTTTTTCTGGCCAAATAATATTCCAGTGTGTATATATACACAATATCTTCTTTATCCATTCATCTCTTGATGGACACTTGGGCTGCTTCCATAGTTTGGCTATTATAAATAATGCTGCAATAAACATAAGGGGTGCATATATATCCCTTGGAATTAGTGATT